CATCACCCTCTACAAACAGAAAAAGCAGAGCCAAGTCGCAGGTAATACCTCTCATTGGACATACTGCATGTCATCGGCAAACGGGTTTGTGGGACAAAAACAGGTTGAGGTCAGAGGGAAAGAGCAAAACAAATGCTTATTTCTGTACTTCCCTCCATTACTCTGCGGCGCTTTTTATATTTTTGTGCAAACAAACTTTGCACACAGTAAATGAGCCTGGAAAGTGTCTTGTCTTATACACTAACTGTGAGATGCAATGGAAAAAATAATCTCCATGAAGAATTCACACAATGTTCGTGAGCAAAGTCAGGCTTCTGTGAGATATTTCAAGTTAAAAGCTAGCAGTAACCTTGTTTCCAGCGACATGAAGTCGTATTTCAGTTTTCATCTGTATAAAATGTATCTCAATATCCAGGTCTACCCAAGAGATGGGAGGCACAGAATGAAACCTGCTCTCCTACTTGGTTGAGTTTGAGAGGAGGCAACAGTGACTAGTGACTTTTTGGGAGAAAGTGTGTTACCTTAACCTTATAATGTGCTTTATGAGGCTTTATTTTAGTGTTAACTGTCCCATGTCTTTTTTATTATTATTTTTTTAACAAGTTGAGTACCTTTTTCTCCTATTAATATCAATCCAAGCCCTGTTTATAGTGTACTGCTGAAAAACAGGTTCACTGTTCAGTGAGGAAAAAAATCCAAAAATAGGGGGTTTAGATTCCAAACTTAAGCAATTAGATTGGAGACTAAGGGGCACAAAACTGACAGTGTTTCTTAAAACCCCCTGCCTTGAAATATGCAGCTGTACTTGGTGAGAAGTTGGCTGAAATAAGGCTAAATATGGGATTTATCTGGAAGCATAAGCATGTTTTAAGGAATCACCTGTAACAGGATAAAGGTTTGTTAAGTGTGGCAGGCACAGCTATGATCAGCAATCTGCAATGTTCCCTTTCTCGATTCTAGATTCTGTAGTTAAAAACACTTCTGCTACACTGCTACATAGTGCAGTTTGCATTTCTTACCACATTGTATGTAATGTCTGCAGGAGTTATGTCTGCAGGCATTTTTATGGTTGTGTGTGGTACTCTTTGGTTTTTTGGGTTTCTTTTTTTCTTTTTTGGGGGGGGCGGGTTCTTTTTTTCCCCTTTTTCTTTCTTTTTTTTTCTTTTTCTTTCTTTTTCCCCTTTTTCTTTCTTTTTCTTTCTTTTTCTTTCTTTTTCTTTCTTTTTCTTTCTTTTTCTTTCTTTTTCTTTCTTTTTCTTTCTTTTTCTTTCTTTT